AAGAGCGAGCATCCCATCCCCCACGGAGGGCAGTATCATTCCTGCATCCTGAGAGGATGGAGGCCTGCATTCCTGCGTCCTAAAGCAGAGATACAGATCTGCCACAGGGCTGATGAGCAAAATGCTCTTAAGATTGTTCCCTCCCCCAATAAAGGTGCTAACCAAACCAGTTATCTGAGAAAGCCCGAGAATCCACAGCCAATGAGAAAAATCCACCTAACCCAGAGTTAGAACATCCATAAAATCTGGGCTCCACTACTCTTCTCTAGCTGTAGCCTTTCCTTTCTGTCTAATAAATCTTACTTTATATACCGGCTTTGGCTCATCATTCACTGCCTCACGAGCCAGTTCTCTGGCCTGGACCCTTGACACCGGCACGTAACATTCCCATAGTCAATGTTTGAGTGATGATGTCATTAGATGAAAATTTTTTTTTTCAAAGGCAGACAAAGAAGGATTTAAAGGGAAGGTAAGAAATTTGTTTTTTGGGGGGAGTTTTACTTACAGAATGACCTGCTAAATTTTGTGCTGATAAATGTTAACAAGTAGTTTTCTAAAAATAAAACAAAAACAAAGGAGAGGAAGAGTCAGAAAAGGCAAGCAAGTAAGCTCTGATTTATAATTTCCACCTTCTTCACAAAAGTATTTACAGCTTTTGTGATTTCAAGCTAGTATGTGTATGTGTGAGTAAGGGGATCAGTTCCTGAGGAAGCTGGGAGGAGGTCTGCACCAGCAGACCTCAGAGTTGGTGTGAACTTGCTGAGAACACTGCTGGTCAGGGTGTACTAGGGAGCAAAGTCAGGGAGCTCATCAGGGTGAGGCTGGCCATACAGGGCTGAAAGGAAGCTGCGGGGAAGGGTAATATTGCTTAGAGGAGTAATAGAAGCAAAAAGAGAAAACCAGGATCAGAAGAGATGTATATGAACAGAAGTTAAAAAAAGAGTGGTTAAAGAGGCAGAATACTCAGAAGAGAACCAGATTCATGAAATACAAAAGGACTAGTTTCTGGAAGGAAGGTGTGGTCAATAGTGTCAAATATCAGAGATCAAATAGCCTAGGGACTTAAAAGAGGTCATCAGCATTACCAATTAAGCAGTCTTTTTGAGTTTACTTTTCTCCATTAAAATATTTTCTAATGCAAAAAGAAATGTCCCCCCTCTCCTTGCTCTCTCCCTACCCCCTCTTTCTGTCACTAATGAATTTGGACAGAACAGACTCAGAGCTGTGGAGCAAGTTGATGAAAGACAATCTTTCCTTTGGCTCTTAAAGGAAGGAAAGCTTGAAGGAAGAAAGGTTGGAAGGGTGACTTTTAAAAAGAATTATAACTCATGAATGGACTGGAAATTCAGGAGAATGTATCTGTTTGCAAATCAGGCTAACTTGTTGGCTTTGATGACAAACAGAACAGATATCTTTCTCAAGTCCAGAAACAATGGTTTTGAATGTATGTCAATAGAATTCATGTTAATACAGAAGAGAACACATTGTTCCAATTAAATCAAATTATATTGAAAGTCTGTGGTATATACCCTATTCCATATATAGTAGTGATTCCTTTTTTATTACTTGATAATTGATTACTTGAGGATTTGTTTTCGTGTTTAATTGTGTATTGGAATTCAGTTGATTGAAATTTGAACTGTAGTTTCTTTTATTCCCTCCGTATTTGAAAGATGATTTACTGATTGTTGGCTCTGGCAGATGAATGGGTATCCCATCCCCCTGGAGAGCAATATCATTCCTGCATCCTGAGGAGTTAGAGGCCTGCATTCCTGCATCCTGAGAGGGAGTTGTAAATCCATATTTCTGCATCCTAAAGAAAGATGCAGGGTCTGATAGAGCTGCCACAGGGCTGATGAGCAAGTGCTCTCAAGATTGTTTCCCCTCCCCCAACAAAGGTACAAATCAAACTAGTTCACCTGAGAAAGTCCTCGAATCCATGGCCTATGAGAAAAACCTACCTAACCCAGAGTTAAAACGTCCATAAAAACCCCAGCCTTCACCTGAGTTACTGATTTCCGGGCTCTGGGCTCTGCTGCACTTCTCTAGCTGTAGCCTTTCCTTTCTCTCTAATAAATCCTACTTTATATACCGGCTTTGGTTCATCATTCAGCTGCCTCACGAGCCAGTTCCCTGGCCTGTGAAGGCAAAGACCCTTGCACTGGGTCTTAGACACTTAGACACCGGCATGCAACATTATCTTTTTAAAAAATTTTTTATCTTTCATTCTTCAAGATTCCAACTAGTAGATCTTCTTAATCATAACAAATTCAGCTTGAAAAGTCATACTGGTATACTTTCATTTTTATTCTTCATTGACTTCCTGAAATACTTGATTTTTTCAGTTTCCAAGGACCAAACAGTATGGACACCAAACAAACAAACAAAAAAACCACACACCCATTTGGTGAAAATCATCTCCTTTTTAAATAACGTGAATATGTATGTGTATGCAGACTAGTTACTAAGTATGTATTAAAGCAGCCTCCAAGCAATGCCTTTTAGGTAATCTTAATTTAAAAGCCTCAATGGAAGATAAAATTGAGCTTCTCTGTAGCTCCATGACCTCCATTCAAGGTCTTTAAGGCCATAACTGCCTGAAAGTAGATTCTGTAATTACAAGATGCCAGGGTCATGTCAGAATAGAGCCTCAAGTCTCCCAGGCCACATTCATGGAACCAGCTCCTTCAGGGCAACAGCAACTAAGAAGGGGCTTCCCACTTATTTGGGATGGGTCCCCAAGGCTAGGGGCTTAAAGTATTGCAGGAATCAAGACTTGGAGAAAAACCTCACTGAAGCATACCCAAGGCTAGAAACTTTGAAACTTCTGTCTTTCAAGTTCCAATCTTTGAAAGTCAGAAGTTTAGTGACAGGAAACAGTCACATTTGCAGAGTATGGCACTTGGTGTCAACACATTTATGTCCCTGTTGTAACCTGGTTGAAACACTTGGCCTCTTGGGGATTCAGGCTCTTTTGACAGTAGTGATCAACACTGAACACATAAACATTCCAGACATTGGTGCTTTCATGTATTCATTGTGGTAGATGAGCAGATTCTTGATACCACAGGTGGTCTTAGTTAAATGGATTAAGTTTGACTTTGAGGCCCTAGATTTACATAGTTAGAATCAATGGCTGGTTGTTCTGTCTGGGGTTTCACTTTCTTCTTTCTCCAGCAACCTATTCTTGTCTAATTTGTACAGGACTTAATGTCACTCATTCTCTCTTAGAGTTATTTAAGAGATTATCTTATTTTGTGGTGGGATTTTAAATACTGTGGGGGGAAGTGTGGAACAAGAAGGAGAGCAAGGGAGACCTAATCGCTTCCTAAAATCATGCTAGGAATGGTAGCACTTCCCTTCTCCCTCCCCAGGAGTTTTCCTTGGTATGCAGAGTGTCAGAGAGATTATTTTGAACTCTTTACTGGTCCTGAAATTTTAAAAATCTAGCATGGGAAAAACTTTTATAGGCCATAGTGGCACCTGAAAATGACACTGAGAGTGAATAAGAGCCGCTCTGTTTATCGTGCCCTTTTTCCAAGGAGCTTATAGTTTTCAACAAAATTCATTTTTAGAAACCCCTTATTAGGCAGGAGAATAGCATATTCTCTCTTCATAAAGATGACGAAATCGAGGCAAAACGACTACCTAAATTGTACACCATATGGTTTGGTCCAGTTTGATGTCAGACCCACTCTTTTTGTTGGGATTGTCCTTTAACTGAGGCAGAAGGATCCTTGTCCCCAGCCTGGACTTTAGAAGGTTTAGCTCTGGCTCTCAAAACAAAAGGGTCAAGCCACTTAAGAGTTATGAGTGCCCAGCACCCTACGATTCCTACAGGACTTGCTTGGGCCTCTTTTCTGGGTATATCTCCTATGTTGCCATACCACTGATGTGTGTACCTGGACTTGAGTTGTGGCCCAGAGGTACCTGTTGACTGTAGAAGGGGTGTGTGCAGGTGGGTATTCTCCTATAGAAAGTGCAAGTTCTGGAATATGATGGAGCTTGGGTTGGGGAGAGAAGGGGTTTGGGGCAGCTGTTCTATCCCACCACATTCTTGCCCATTTTTTTTCACTCTGTTGGCTTAATTTAGGACATTTAAATGTTTAGTATTTAAATATTTGGAATGTAGGCCTCCATATGTGGTCTTGCCTGTGCCTCTCAGATGTTTTGGGCAATCTTGTACTTGACTGACAAAGCCAAAGCCAAGGGAGAAGTTGGAGAACTGGAGTGACTACATAATTTTACATGGCTATTCTCTAGTTGTACTTTGCAAACCTATAGCAGCCAGAAGGCTACAAGCTCTGTGTTCCTTTTTTCTTTTCTTTTCTTTCTCTCTCTCTCTCTCTTTTTTTTAAACAGCATCTCTCCTATGAAGCAAGACACTCTTTGTTGCGCTTCAGAGGGACCTGAGTGGTTTCAGGTTGGAAATCTCAAAGACAGTAAGGTCTCCTGTTGAAAACCAAAGACAAGGTTTGTGGCAGAAACCCAACGAAGGCAGTTGTTCCGACTGTCTCCAAATCTTGGTCTTTGAAAGGAAGAGTTGGCGGGGAGTCAGCTTTCAGCTCTCCCTCCCCCAATCCCTAGGCTGAGTAATCTAACAAAGAGGAAAAAAATGCAGAAAACATTGGTTTAGAGGAAACGATTTCCTCCAGCTCCGCCGGCTGCCGGGAAAGCGGAGTGGAGCGTCTCCGGCGCAGTTCAAGCACGGAGTTTCCCGCTTGCCCGAAGCCGGCAGGTCAAGGCCTGGGCAGCGCACGCGGGGAGTGGACCGCGGGGTCCGCCAGGTCCTGGCACCCCTCGCCTCTGCCCAACCTGGCCTGCAGCAGCGCCGCGTCGCCCGTTTAAGGGGCGGGCCGCAGCTCCACGTGCTTTCTGCTGAGTGACTGAACTACATAAACAGAGGCCGGGAAGGGGGCGGGGAGAGAGGGAGCAAGCAGTTTGACCGATAGTAACCCCGGAGCTCGGCACAGCCGAATCTATAAAAGGAACTAGTCGCGGCAAAAACCAGTAATTCCGAGGGAGAGTGAGCGGGCCGGGACCGGCCGAGCTGAGCCCACATCTTCTTCCCTAGCTCGGGTGGGCAGGACAGGGGGTGCCGCAGGATCCACGCAGCCAGAGCTAGTTTCTCGGGGTGCTTTGCACCCTGTTTTGTCTTCCCTTCTCCGGAAGGGTTTGTGCAGGGGTGGGGAAAAGAGACGCAAACACCAAAGTGGAAAACAGGTAAGAGGTTCTCCAGTGACTTGGGCGTCATATTGTTTGGGGGCCGAAGAAGCTTTGCTTTTGGGAACTTTGGTCTCAGTCTCCACATTCCCACCTTTTGCAACACAAATGAGGCGGGGGCGGTGTAATCCGAGAGAGGATGTCCTAGGACTAGCTGTGGCGACCCCGGGACGCGGTGCTTCTGCATTCCGGGCTCGCCCGGCCAGGGAGCATCCCTGAGCATGGAGACTCAGGCGCAGTACCCCGGACTCAGCGAGGTTCGGGGCTCCTGGCCGGGCTGGGGGCGCTGCTACTGGGGTGGAGAGAGTGGCAGATCCGTCGCCAAGCGCTTCCCTTTGTTTGGAAGCGCCTGAGCCAGCTGACCCCCACCCCCATCCCCACCCCCTGTGGCTCTGGGGGGGCGGCACCCACCGGAACAAATGCCAGCTCTGAGTCCCCTTTCCATTCTAAAGAACCTGGTCTCTGTTAGACTGTGATCTGGGGAATCGGCTCAGTGCGCCCAGGACTGGAGCGGCGTGTCCTTGTTTCCAAAGAACTCGAGTAGCAAGTGTCCCAAACGGGTCCGTTGTGCTGTTGCTCCCCTCAGGCCTCGGGGCTTTGTTTGACCTAGGGGTCCTTCCTACAGTTTCCTTGCGCTCACCAGAGCTCACCCGAGCTGCTGTTCCTGGCGCAGCGTATGAGGGGGTGGGGGCACGAGTTTTGTTCCTTTTAAAGACAGAAAACTTAAGGAGAGCCTGCAGAAAAACGGAGCTGGGGTGCTCATTCCTTCCAACCTCCCGCCCCATCTTCCTGTCTTCTGTAGCGCCGTCCCTGGGGGCGGTTCAGGCCCGGCACCGGTGGGGATGCGAGGTGGTGCAGCGCAATGACCGCGAGTAACCCCGGCGGCGGGCGGCGGGCTGCGGGCGGCGCAGAACTTGCCTCTGAGCGGCTGGGCTGGGTTCGGCGCTGGGGGCGGGGGCCTGGGCGCGGGCTGCGGGTGGCCCCGGGACACTGGCCCGCAGCGCCTCCTGGCCGGGTGGCCTAGGTATCGGCCGGGTGGCAGGAGGGCAACTGGGCTCTGCTCTACCAGGTGTCGTTGCTCTCGGGTTCCAACTGGGAATCTGGGGACGATGGGTGGTTGTAGCCTGGGAGGAACCACGCGGCTTTGGGGAAAGCCCATTTAGGGTTTTTTGTTGTTGTTGTTAGTTTCCTGACTTTTAGGCCATTCTAAATAAGAGAAGGTTCTTGGGGCGTCTGCCAGTGCTGGGGTTGTGTGTAGATAGCCGATTTTTTTTTTTCCAGCATTTGTTAGAAAAAAGAAAAGAATGATTAAAAAAGAAGAAAGAAAGGAAAAATGTATCTGGCACTAGAAGTATTTGGCCTTCCTTATTTGCCACATTGCACGACCAGCTTTTAAAACCCAAGACTTTTGAATGACACCTCACAAAGGGAGTGTGGTAGTATATACATTTATATAATAGAGAACAGAGTTTTAATCTTCTTTTCGGACAAAGGTTGCATACCAACTAAAAAAGTACTTAGTTTCTTATCTCCCCCTTTATTTCATGATTTTTCTCATACCTACCACAAAATCATGGAGGCTTACTGTTGTTCCTATGAATTTTTTTTTCTTGAGGAACTTCTCCCACATTGAAGAAAGTATGAAAGCATGGAGAATATTCCTGATAGAACCTCTTTAGATAGTATAAAAATTTTCAAGTGCACAGTTTACAATGCCAGCCTGTTTCTCAAGTGCTCCCATAAGCCATTAAAATAATTCGTAAGAGGATTTTTTTGGAAAATTGAACTGAATACACAGCAAATCAGTGTCTATTTGAGAACAAACAGTACAATCTGAAGGACCAGGGAAGGTCACCAGCCTTCATAATGACCACATCCCTTTATGGGACAAGAATTGCTACCATAGAGTAATTCATGAGTTCCTTTGCAAAAGTCAGTATGGTGTTCCAGAATGGCATATCTGACTATAACAAGGATACCTGTGATATGTGTGCCTTCTTTGCAGGTGAGCATTTGAAATCTCAGCTCTTGTAAGTACTTCAGTTGGCATCTAAATGCAGGTCTGTAATGGACCCTGGACACATTTACAGTTCATGTGAGACAATGCATTAGTGGGGGATTGAAAGAGAGTGATTAGGGCTTGGTTGTTTTCAACCTTGAAGGAAGTTCCAGGGCAAACATTAAAAATGAATGAAACTAAATGAAACTCAGCGACTCAGTCTTTTATTATCTTTTGTAACACTTACCCTGTATGGATGTAGCACCTCTCTTATGTGGATAAGAGTTGGAATATTTTCCCATTTAAGTTTCTTAAATTTTTTTTTAAGTTTAGGGATCTTCTCTCCCATAAACCAGGATGTGTACACTTGCCGTATTTGTAGCGATCCCAAATTGTTGAAGCTATTTCAATTATTCAGTTATTAAGCTTCTAAAGTAGTTAAATGGACAAAACAAAATGTACATTGTTTTTGCATTTTAAAACATTCTAAATACATTTTTTTGGGTGGTACTGGGGTTTGAACTCAGGGCCTTGAGCTTGCTAGGCAGGCACTCTACCACTTAAGTGATGTTCCTATCCTTCTGACATTTTTACTTGCTGCTTAGATATTACAGAAATAATGCAATTGTGATGTCCCTTGTGGCCAATTAGTCCAGCATCAGATTTTAAAAGATCATTCTGAATATTTGTTTTATTTAATTGTGCTGGAGGAGAGCCTACTCTGAGACCATCTTTACATGTGCAAATGGAAACACATGAACGGCAAAGTTATTGCAATGTTTAGGTAGTAGACATGTAACACTGTGTGCTAACTACTGTTCTAAATGCTTCTCAAATACATTTAGTCTTTTCAACAGATTCATTTACTATCCTGGTTTTATAGATTAAGAAGGTGAGAGGTCAACTATTTGCCCCTGGCCACATACCTTGCAAATGGCAGAACTTAGATTTGAACTCAGTTCCAGAGTTCTTTAACTCCCACATTAAGCAAAGTGTTGGTACAATTTTAGCTACTGTGAGCTGGGAACTTTGAAGGATGTTCCCCATATTCTGTGCATTCATCAGCTATAGCCCTTATCAGAATCTACAGTGTGTGTAGTTCTTCCCTTTTGCCTTGAGGGGGCCAGCCAAATTCTCTTCAGCATGTTGAGACCTTGGTTACAAAGGGATTGCAACACTATGGAAAGAACAGAGAGTGTTATTTGCTCAACTCTAATTTTTTTATTTGGTTTTAAATGAAAATGATACTTTTGCTTCAGTCAGTTATTTGTGAGTAATGTGTGATCTCAAAGTGTTTTCCTGTGTGAGATGCAGTATAGAAAATAGAATGATGGAATAATTGTTTTTGAAATTATAAAAGGAACAAAAGAAAAAGGAAAGAGAACTGTTAGTTTAGTTGTTAATCCTAACTTCGCTGAATTTTTAAACTGGTTATAATGTGTGTGCGTGTACAATGTAAAACATAGAATATAATGTTTGGGATATTGCTGTTTATTTTATACTGGTGTTTCGGTAATTTTTTTAAAAACTTGATTTTTAGTTTACTTCCTCAAATTTTTAATTCCGTGTTTCTTGTGTTTATATGTCACACACGGAAAAAATAGATGATGACAGTGACAGTTACTTAATTACGTTCTGCTCTTACACTGGGTCACTAATTCATATTGCTATTCAAACATGGAACAATTAGGTATTAGTCCAACTTTTTGCATATATGCAAATAATTATCAGAGGCTATCATTTTGGGGAGGCGATTATAATTTCCTTGAGGATATGTTGAAATCTATGGATTCTCTCTTTAGAAAAAATATGCATGTATTGATTAACACCAGATTTTATGTTTAATTACAGGATATTCATGAATTCCCACAAACCCCCTAAGGAGCCATGTGGCCTTGGGCAAGTTGTTTTACTTTTCTGAGATTTAGGTTACTGTTCTACAAATGATACTACCTGACTTGTAAAGAGCCCTTTAAGCTTTTATGTTCTGTATTTAGGAGAAAGAGTGGTTCTTTGATTCATGCTACCTAGAGATAAGTTCTGTGGTTCATGCTGAGCATTAGTGTAACACAGCAGGTGATTTTGAATGGTAGATGAGCGGTACCCTGGGGACTGCTGCATTCCTGATGACGGTGAGGATGGAAGGGAGGAGGATCATGAGAGGAAAGGAAGGTAGAGGAGAGGAAGCTGTTGAAATTGTATATTTATCTGCACTGAGTGGATGAAGACTTGAATCATAGAACTAGAAGGGAATTCTTACCTGAAATGCAAAGGAGGGAGAAGTTGGTTCGATAGAATAAATTTCAGTAGCTCGAACATGATTTAGTGAGATACCAGTCCCACTTCTGAACAATCATTTGGAAACTCTTGCAAATAAAATGTCTCTATCCTGGTCATATCCATTTTGGATGTAGGTTTTGCTTTTTTATGGTAGAGTTGTGTTAAGCCAATATGAGATCAAAAGAAAAGTTAAAACTGCTAAGACTCCTTCATCCTCTATCCTCTTCATCTTTTTGCCCATTTTAGCAGGAGAATTGGATTATACCTATTTCATGAGGATATTTCTTAAATGTCTCGAAAGAACCTCCCTGGGGATAGGTGGGCAAGATGCACTGCTTTCTAAAGCATCACCCTGAATTTGATGCTTCAGAAATCATAACATAAATAAAACTGGAAGGAAGAAAGGAGAAAATTGAACAGGTAGTTCTGTTCTGGCAGGGGATGGGGAAGGAGCTCCTAAGAAGTTGATTGCGTGTCCAAAGGAGGGAATTATTATTACTATTATTATTTTTGCCATGAATCAAACTAAGCTTGTTTTCTTGAAGAAGCAAGTTGGGGAGGTGGGAGGAGGAGGGTGGCAGCTTGAAATTGATTGGGTCTGGTATTTAGATGATCCAAGGTGGATATAAAGGCAATATTTATGTAACCAGAAGCTTTTCTTGACAAGCTGAGAGAAAACAAAGGCCCAGACTGATGAGACTAGGTGACTTGCAGACCCTTC